TTTTTTTAAAAAGGATAATTTCAGAGAATGCTATGTACTCTGAAAAATAAAAAATAAAACAGAGAAATTCAGAGACAATAAAAAACCCAGGAGGCCTAATTTAGGTTGAGTGTCTAAGAAAGTCCTCTATGAGGATATGATATTTGAGTTGAGCCCTACATGATGAGAAATAACTAGTCATGTGACAAAATAGAAGTGTCTGAGTTGAGGGAAGAAAAATGTTGGACCTGAGTAGGAGAATTCAAGGAACAAGAGGCCGGTGTGGGTGGAACTTGGAGAATGAAGGTGAGATGAGTTTGGAGAGAGAGGCAGGATCAAAGCATGTTGGCCATAATTAAGATTTTGGCTTTGTGACTCAGTCCTGCCTAAAGACTGGAGGGTTTTCAGCACAGGAGGACTAATGGCAGTGCCAGCAAGAGTTTGGTCAGATCACCGTTAAAACTTTTTCAGGTTTGCAACAAGATAATTTGCACCAGAATGTAAAACATCTACATCACTAAGCACATCTGATGAATTCAGCTGACTTCTTTTTTTAATAGCCAAGACTTTCTCAGGAAGTAGTGAATTGATTTATGCTGTGGCTCAAGCTCTTTATATCAGTGATGAGTAGAAACAGCCAATTCACTGATAAGCACTTTCAGTAGAACTGTTTTAGTAAATATTCAAAAAGAAATACTTTGGCACTGTTACCTGCAGGTGGTAAAAGACACAGTGCTATAATGGGAGGGAGGCAGTGGCATCTTGGAATTGTGTCTGCATTTTAACTATAATATTACACTGTTCATCCACTTCATCTTTTGAAATTTCCTCTGCCTCATACACTTTCGTATACAGCTAAGTCTTTGCATTTCATTTACATGCTTATTGATCACTTTGGAGACTTATTAAGGACAATTTTAATTATGAGCTTAGAGTCCCAAAGCTGCCAAGCTCCTCAATCTCACTCCATATAGGTATGTGGCACGTACCAAATGAGGTTTTTAAAAATCCATGAGAGTAATTTTCATCTTAATCTAGTAGTTTTTAAGGGCACAAAATGAGCTTGTTTTCTATCCTATTAGCAAAGAACTTTACTTAATTATTTAATAGTTCAAAAGGGCTATAAGCCAATCATTGCTAATTGCACTGAGAAAAAAGAATCACTTTATGCAAATCATTACTATTACAATACATAGTAATGATGCATTTGCCACACATATTCCTATAAATTTGCATGGCTTTGACATAGAAAGCTTGCATGCCTACAAATAGTCTATGCATTTCCATCTAACTTTTATTTTTTTAAACCAAAATTGTAATAGTATTTTTGAATGCTGGAGTTTTCACTGTTTTGATATAAACATTTACTTATATCACTATATATTTCTTCTGATACATTATTTTTAAAGGCTGCTTAACATTGTATAATATTTTGAGCTTTAATTTGTTTCCTCCTCTTATTGAGCTTTTATAAATGCTACTAATGTGAGCATCCTTGCACGATGATCTTTGTTTGAATCTCTATTTCTATAGCATAAATTCCTGGAAATGAAATTCTTTGCTAAGGATCACTCTCTAGTCTAAAATGAACACTCCCACCAGCTCTTATTTTGAGATGAACTGTATTATCAACAACAAAAAACAACAGCTACTAACTTAGAGCTAATGTATGGGATAAGTACTATTATTACCATCATTCCAAACATAGGGAGGGGTTCCAACTAACAGGCTCATTATCTAACAAGTAAATGGATTTAACCCAAGCTGATTCCAGAGCCAGTGTTCTGCTTAAATAGATAATTTTGTATAGACTATTCTGTGTATAAAAGTTTAAAGATAATTTACTAAAGATGGTAATGTATAAATGACCCAACAATTCCATTTAAGCATGAACCCAAAAGAAATGTGTCCATATTTGTACCAAACTGTTTATAGCAACAGTCTTTGTAATAGCCCCAAACTGGAAATTATCTAAATGCTCATCAAAAATAGAGTTGATAAATTGTTTTGTACTCACTCAATGGAATATTATACAGTATGGGAACAAACAATTTCTAACTATGCAACTGCAAGAATAAATCTTAGAAACAATGTTGAGCAAAATAAGCAAGTCACAAAAATACAAACTGTATGAGATCATTCATATAAAGCACAAAAACAAGTGAAAAGTAGCATATGCTATTAGAAGCCAGACCATTGACTGCCCTTAGATGGGTGGGTGGGGGGAGGGAGATTGAATGTTAGCGGGAAGCAGGCTTTTGAAGTGCTGTAATGTTCTGATCTTTGACCTGGGGTGCTGGTTACCTAGATGTTTAGCTTGTGGAAATTCATTGATCTATGATATTTGTACTTGTGTATGTTTTCAAAAACATTAAAAAATCAGAGATGATTAAATAATACATTCTTTACTTGAATTTTGATACAGAAGAATTAAGGGTGTTGATTAGAAAAATTTGTGTCCAAAGACAAATTAAAAATAGTATTAATGTTAATTCTAAATGAATATTTTAGAGACATGCTCTATTACTGAGTAAGTTTTAAAGTGAGATATAATTTTTATACTGCTAATGATATTACTATACCTTTTTACTTATTTTTTTATAGTTAAGCAAGCAAAGCAGATGTCATTTGAAGGTTTTGCAAGATACCTGTGTTCATCTGAGTGTCTACTATTTAACAATGAATATAAAAAGGTTTATCAAGATATGCATCATCCATTAAATGATTATTTTATTTCAAGTTCACATAATACATACTTGGTATCTGACCAATTAGTGGGACCAAGTGACGTTTGGGGATATGTAAGGTATTTAATTTGATTTCTAAATTTATTACATTTTTTTCTTCCTTTTTAAAAAGTTAAATTTATTAGGGTGACAGTGGTTAATATGAACATATAGGTTTCAGGTGTGGATTTCTATGTTACAAGATTTGTATATTGCTCTGTGTGCCCACCACCCAAAGTCATATCTTTTCCTGTCACCTTATATTAAGACCCCCCTTCACCCCCCACCCCCTGCCCTCTGGCAATAACCACACTGCTGTTTGTGCCCACAAGTTTTAGTTTTATATCCCACATATGAGTGAAATAGTATGGTTCTTAGCTTTTTCTGACTGACTTATTTCACTTAGCATAATATTCTCAAGGTCCATCCATGTTGTTGCAAATGGCAGTATTTCATTCTTTCTTATGGCTGAGTAGTGTTCCATTGTGTACATGTCCCGCATCTTCTTTATCCAGTCTTCCACAACTGAGTTTTTGGTAGTTTTTTGTCTTTTGTTTTCCAAACAGAGAGCTCAAGATTATCCTGATTATTCTCTGTTAGTACCCCAGATAACTGATATTCTGTATTGATAAATAGGGCAAGACAATCAACTGAGAGGAGAGTAAAGCAAAAATTCTTTCATGGCAATTAACAAACTTTACAAATATATAGTGATTGTTCTACAATTTAAAAATCTAAATACATAAATAAATACACAAGCTGAGAAATATATTCAGTTTGATTTCTACAAATATAGCCCATTTTAGGGCATGTATCTAAAATTTGTTGGCTACCTCATTCACCCATGGAAATGCCAACACAAGATTTCCTTAGAAGAGGGTTCTAGGTGCATTCCTCCAACCCTGGGACAAGTGGACTAAAATACTCTGAAAATTTACATTATAGTGCATCTCTACATTCCTGAATAAAGCAGTGTGCACTTGAAAAGTAAGACAAAATGGTTTTAAAAAACAACCCCCCCAAAAAACCTCAAAAAAGAATTTATTAACCAGTTAGCTTTGTATTGTTTTAGTGAGGACTCCAATATAGATACAATTCATTCATTCTCTTCCCCTTGAGTGCCCTACCTCCTCAGGTCCCTTCCATCTTTCAGCTATATTATTCCCTAGGGAACATAAGGTCCCTTTTTTCTCTTTTTCTTGAATTCAGCACCTTGACTTCAGTGTCATAATTGCTTGATCTTTTCTCAGCTACACTCCTACCTAAATACTGCTTGAGTCATCTCCTTAAAAAGTTGACTGAAATGATCCCCAAAGAAGTACTACATCTAAAAAAGGATATTTTTGTATATGGTTTATTTGGTATTTCTGTGTTTCTGTTTGAAAGAATTACTGATTCTACATCAGTTACTTTGTGCTGGGACCACACTCTCTTCTCCAGGTTTTTATGTCTAAGGGCAGGGTTTCTCAAATTCTTCACATTTTATGTCAGATAATTCTTTGTGTACCAGCATTTCTGGCTTCTACCCACTAGATGCCAGTTACAAACCTCTCATCCATCCCCAGTTATGATAACCAAAAATGTCTCCACATGTTGCCAAATGTTTCCTAGAAGGAAAAATTGTCCTGACTGAGAACCACTGGCTTAGAGACTGGGCTAAATTAATATTCATTTTGGAAAACATGTGCTAACTTGGTTTTCTATGGAAAAAAATCCATGTATGGCAGGGGGCCTTTTTTGACCTTCTCTCTGGTACATGAGTATTAATTCTAAGATCCTAGTGTTTCAAATCAGCCTCTTTTAATTCATCTTTCTTCCAAGACTGTGTTTAGGAGCTCACTTCTGTCTGCCTTCCATTTTCTTCTTATATCCCTATAGTTCTCATTTTTTTCTAATATAAACTAAATATTTATTGATAGTAAGCTGGATATTAAACATTTTCTGTGAGACTTNATCTGCCTTCCATTTTCTTCTTACATCCCTATAGTTCTCATTTTTTTCTAATATAAACAGTAAATATTTATTGATAGTAAGCTGGATATTAAACATTTTCTGTGAGACTTATAGAACTTAAAGCATAAGTAGTAGGTAGAAATTGCAGAATTCAGAGTTCATAGTCCTGGTCATTGTATCCTCTTGGTGGTGCTGGAGCTGTGGTTGGTGCATACTAGATCCACGTCAGGCCACACTCACAGAAAATAAGAAGCAAAGTGTGTTCAGTTCAACACAACAGCTTGTCTTTAATATGGATTCATTTATGAATTTATTGCAAAATTACAAAACCTCTTTGGAATATTTTGACATTTTTAATGATCCAGGAATGACAGCTTATTTTGTTTAAATTTTGCTAGTGCCCTCGTGAAAGGATGCCGTTGTCTGGAAATTGATTGCTGGGACGGGTCACAGAACGAACCTGTCGTGTACCATGGTTATACACTCACTAGCAAACTGCTGTTTAAAACTGTTATCCAAGCAATACACAAATATGCATTCATAGTACGTGCGTATCTTATTAAATTATACTTAAACATAATATAATTTATGTGTTTCAAAATCCTATGATTCTTGGCCTTAGTTTAGATAAGTGATTTTTCAAATTGTGGGTTATAATCCATTAGTAGGTGGTGAAATTCATGTGCTATATAGTTAATGATAGATTTATCAAAGTTAATCTTAGCAAGTAAGGTACNTTCATGTGCTACATAGTTAATGATAGATTTATCAAAGTTAATCTTAGCAAGTAAGGTACATGTTTCATGGAACTTTTTGTTTAATTATATTATATATGTATATATAATGTATGTGTTTATTTCATCATAACATGAAATATATTTCTTAATGTATCATAAAAAAAATTGAGAAATACTCATCTATATAATAGTAGTTTTATATAATAGTAAATATTTTACCAATATTTAACTATTTTACTTTTAAGACACAAAAATAAAAAGTGTCAAATGTATTATTCTAATTGTTGACATTTTTAAAATTGATTTTTAGAAGGGAAAGGGAGAGAGAGAGAAACATTGATGTGAGATCGATAGGCTGCCTCCTGCAGGTCCCCTACCAGGGATGGATCCCACAACCTGGGCATGTACCCTGACCAGGAATCAAACTGGCAGCCTTTCAGTGCACGGAATGACACACAACCAACTGAGTCACACAGGCCAGGGCAATTGTTGACACTTTTTAAAGACCATGGTAGCAGCTATTTATACAGCAAAAATGTTTAGAAGTTAATTTTGGATTTTAAAATTACTATTCAATTATCAAAGCTACATATTCAAAGATCTAGTTCTTTCTGGAGCTTCTAAAGTCAGCTTATAAATCCTAGTCTATAAATTGGGCAGGTTTTAACAATCACTCAATTTTGAATAATACTTGTTCTCATTTATAAACTTGGCTAATTAAGTACCTTTAGATATTTTAAATTGTTTTGTTAACTTAGTATATTTGATTTCTTTCTTACGTACTTTCAATTGTAGTAAAATTGAAGATTTAATATAGTCTTGATGAATAATTAATGTATATCTAATAAATTAATGCATATCTAATAAATTAAACATCAATTTGATAAAGTTCTAAATAGGTTAGTCCATTATCTGTAAACATAAACATAACTTAAAATCACAAATGTAAATAAATTGCTCTAATATTTTTTAGAAATAGAGTTAAAATACTAAATATTCACAATATATAAAATATAAAAAAATTCTTAATTTAAAACATTTATGTATGGCATTGGTTCTCATACACATAAACTTCTAATGATTCTAAGTTTATCTTTATCCAAAGTTGCCGCTTGAACTCTACACCAATATAGACAACAACAGACATTCTACTTGCATATTTAATAGGCGTATGTAATATAACGTGTTTAGAATTGGGCTCCAGATATTCCTCTTTCTGCCAGTCCTACTCTTCCCATGGTCTTCTCAAGTTCACTGAGTGGCAGCTTCTATGTGTTCAAGCCTAAAATAAATCAGTGCTGTCAACTTTAACCCACTCCTCCCTCTCTCCAACCTCTCAATAAGTTCTTTAGCAAGTCCTCTTGGCTCTACTTTCAAAATACATACTGACTTTCATCCCTTCCTCCCATTCTCACTGTCACTGTCCTGGTCAGCCATCATCCCTTCTCACACGGATATGGCAGCATCTTCTTAACCAATGTTCCCTCCTCTCTTTCTCCTCCCCTGCGTTTCGTCTCAACGTATCAGCCAGAGTGACTTTTTGGTAAATCAGATCATGCCATTCCCCTTCTCAAAACTTTCGGTCCCACTCAAAATAAGAGCTACAGGTCACTTTCGGGTCCCTCCCCACACCCTACATTCCCTGTTTTCTTTTACCTCCCTAATCTTTTCTCCTTTTTCCCTTGTTCGCTTGTCTATTCTGGCCCTTTACTCTTTTTCAGACCCATCTCAAAGTCTTTGAACTTGCATATGAACCCTTAATCTGAAATACTTTTCCCAAATATTCGTATAGCAAACTCTCTCACTTCATCCAGGGTGGGTAACCAAGGAAATAAAAGGAAATAGAGACAATTTTAAAATTCAAAACTCCTGTAGCTTCTAAGATTTTCAAGAGAAAGAGACAAAATGAAAGAAAGCCTTTGTGCAAGAAAGACTTAATGAGTTTTCTCAATTGAACAGGGTAACTCAGTTTTGTAGCAAAGGTTAGATTGAAGGTTGAACTTTCTACTGTTAATTTGGGAAAGAGATAGCAATGAAATAAAATAGACTTGGTAACTATAATTAGGAAAGAACTTTGAGTGTATGTACTGGCACATGTAACTTACTAGAAGCAAATATATAAGAAAGCTACATTTTTAGGATAATTATATTGTCAAAACCACAACAAAACACAAGTCAGACTCTCAAATGAGCGTTAAAACAACCCCGAATCAGAAAGTGAGCTCCAAGGAAAGCAAACTCCAAACTCCTCAACACCTACCTTAGATGTGGCCAAGAAGGAGAAAAGAAAAGAAGACCTTTCTGGAGGCTGGAGCCAAGGACCAACACAGAAGCCAAAAAAAAAAAAAA